CGGCAGCGGCAGCCCCCTCCTGGCCAAGCACAGCAGAGCCTTCCGCCAGGGCCACGCAACCGGGAAATGGCAGAGGGCCCCTGCTCGGTGCGCCCAACGGCAGAGGGACCCCCAAGCCCTGTGCACCTGGGCGTACCGCTGCGTCCCAGTGGGGCGAGTCCCCGAGCCAGATTCCTCACAGGCCTGGAATGACACCCCCCAGGTAACGGCAGCCCCCTCCTGGCCAAGCACAGCAGAGCCTTCCGCCAGGGCCACGCAACCGGGAAATGGCAGAGGGCCCCTGCTCGGTGCGCCCAACGGCAGAGGGACCCCCAAGCCCTGTGCACCTGGGCGTACCGCTGCGTCCCAGTGGGGCGAGTCCCCGAGCCAGATTCCTCACAGGCCTGGAATGACACCCCCCAGGTAAGTGGCCCACACCCCTGCAGGGTTGTAACCTCACGGGGCCCCTTCAAGCCCATGGCAACCTACATGCTGCTGCACCTGTGGTGGAACGTGGCCTTCCTGGTGGCCCTCACACTGGCTCAACAAGAACTGGAGCAACTAGACCCAAGTCCAGCTGAGAGCCCGGCGGTGCCTCACCCACCTCCCTTCCACGCTGCCCCCCAGCAGCTTGTGGAACAGAAGCTGCGCTCCCCGGCTGCATCCACCACAGCGCCCGCAGGGCCATCGCAGCTGCTTGCTGCATAGCTGGCATCCGGGCATGCTCCAGTCTGGCGAGTCCCTCCCCATAGATCACAGGGCGCCACCTGGGCTCAGGCCTTCTCGGCTGCCTTCCTGGTCATGTCCCCCGGCCAGAGAGCGGCAGCGCCACGGCCTGCTCTGCCGTGCACACCCGGGTGTCTCCATGCCGCTGTTCAGCGGAGCGGGCAGGCCCGGCGGCGCTGCAGCCACACTCCTTGGCTGGACAGAGGGGGAGTGCCTGCACAGAGCCCTGAGCATGGCAGTGAGGCCGCCTTCCTGCCCTCTGGCCTCCCCACTCCACCGCTTCAGCCCCAAGCGCGTCTCGCTGTGACTGCTGTACCGCGAGAGCTCATCCCCCTCAGTGACAGACAGGCGACACACAGCCGCCCTGGCCTGGCAGTGCACACGCAGCAGGGCCTGATGGACAGACCTGTGTCACACGCACCGCTAGCGCTCACCCACCAAGAGCCTCGCTCCAGGCAGCCCTGCCCCCACATCAAAGAGGGGCTTTGGAGGGTGGGACAAAGGGCTGGCGGCTTCCCATTGCTTAACAGACTTTCCCCAGCAGCGCGGGGACCCTTTGTTTTACATCCCCCGTCCATGGAAAAATACCAGGTTTCAAATAGATCCCAGTGCCAGGTGACCTGGTCACAAGTCTTCCTAGCACCAACCACCCCGGACTCACAGGACAGAGCAGGCTGCTGCCAAGTCACTGAGTCCATCGGGGCACCAGCAACAGGCCTCAACAGCACATCTCCAACTAGGGAGTCTCGCATCGTATTTCCAAGACACGCACGGAAACAGGACGGACAGAGGCAGCACATGGGACCTGAAAACCTCGCCTCTAAGTCAACCTGTTGTGCATCAAGCATCTTTGCGCTATGCAGATTCATATTTCCACGCCAACAGTCAGAAGGCTTGGGGGGGACGATCACTCTCACCTCTTAGCTGGTGCTCTGAGACGTGCTGCTTGTCTCTATTCCACCCCTCCCCCCGCCGGAGCGCGGGCAAGAAGGAAGAGAAGGGGGTCATGTTGGCAGGGTCATGGTCCGGCGCCACTGCAGCAGGCGCCCCAGCTGACCCGAAGGGGTGGTGCTAGGGAGAAGTGCCCAAGAGCAGGGCATGCGGTGCAGGAGCGCACCTCGCTGGAACAGCATGAGCGGGTGAAGAGCCGGCTTCTCATTCAGAGGAAGCTGAGGCAGAGTTTCCAATCGGCTACACCCCAGGGCCACGAAACCGGGGATCCTGCCACAGAATTCAGGCCCAGCTTGCTGTGGAAAACGCCGGGCCGCAGCCAACTCAACTCTGCCAGGCCCACCAGCTCTGCCCTGTTCCATTAAGATCCCACCCCAGGCCAACAGCCAAGTGCAGTAAACGACTGAGGACCTGTGAGTGCCACACTAGGGCTCAACGCAAACACCCCTCCTCCGACGGGAGCGCACCACCGTGGGCAGAGAATTTCCTGGGCCATCGCGTCCCCATGCGAAGCCTGGGAACTCTCCTAGTGCAGCCACGGCCGAGCGCTCCTCTTCAGACTTACTGGGCTCTGCTGGGGCAGCGGCTGGATGCGTTTTCAGGGGTGACTTATGTCCACTCTTTGCTTGTTTTAACAAGCAGCTGCTGCTTGCACTCAATGCACAGAAGCGCTGATCAGCGGGGTCATTTGTAAAACACAACACAAGGAATTCGCCTCCAGCCCCAAAACCCCTGCGCCTCCCGCAAGGCCCCTCGTCCGCTCCCACGACAGCGAGCGAGGCGCACCTGTGCCCGTCACAAGGCAGCGGGATCCTCACACCCGCTCTCCAAAGGCTGCGGCATTTCTCGGCACTCGTGGGAGCCCGCAGCAAACAGGCCCTCGGGAAGAGCCGCAGCTGGAGCGCTGTCCTACCTTCGGCCGCACTCCTAGGAACCCGCTGCAGTTCGGAGCACCGCACTTGCAAACCGTCTTCCCGTTGCCCAAGCACTCCAGGTTGTAGTTGAAAGTCAGCTCAGTCCCTGGCAACACAAGAGATCGGTAAGCGACAAGCCACGCGGCAGGAAGTTCTGCGCCTCCAACGGGCCGGTGGGGCGCGGGAAACCGCACGAAATCTTAGCGGTTACACGGCTACTGATAGCCCCTGGGGCGGGGCCAGCAGCCAGCGCGCTCCTGGGGAGCCCCTGACGCCTCTATCGGGTAGCGGGGTGGCAGGCGGGAGCTGGTCCACGGAGGAGCCAGTGTAAAACCAGCTCCCCGTGCCGATCTGCCTCGCCCCGCCCCGCCGCCTCTCACAGATAAAGATACAGAGGTTGGTCCGCGGCAGCAGCCCCTGTTCGCCGGGGGTCCGAGCTCCTCTCACAGCCTTCCCGCCCCATGCTGCTGCCTCTCAGAGGCGGCGGTAGCGCAGGCAGAGGAGGAAGCATGCGGCACCGCTGGGGGAACTGGCTTTTAAGCCAGCTCTCCCATCACTAGCTCCTGCCTGCCCCCGCCTCTGCAGCAAGAGCAGGTGGGTCCGCGGAGCCGGCTCCCCGCCTATCGGCTCAGAGGCAGCAGTGCAGCGGAAGGGAGGGAGGGAGGGGAGGCGGAGCCGCTGCTTGTGGGAACCTGCTTAAAGCCAGCTCCTCATGGGCACCAGCTCCCACTCCCCCTTGCAGCTGCGTGGCTGAGGAGTAAGCAACAAGCCCAGGCTTACCGGTCCATTGTAGGGGGCCACGCTCCATCCCTGCTCAGCTGGCACAAACGGGAAGGGCACCAGCCTCTGCCCCTCGCCACCCGCGCCCCAGCCCTGGGCTCTGCACTTGTCTGCTTGCTAGTGGCAGCCCAGGAAGCCTAGCGCTGGGCCCCGCCCGGAGCCAGGGAGCAGCTGGACTTGAAGGAAGGCTGGGGGCTGGATGCAGGGCGTCTGCCATTCCCAGGGATGTTTCTGCGTATCTGGCCCCTGTGCACCGGCGCTCCCCCGCCCACCCTTACGCTGCATGGCCCCTGCATGCCCACGCTGGCCGACAGACGGGGAAGGGCCCGCTGCTGCCTCCACCAGGAAGTGAGGGTCCCGCAGTATTTCCTCCTCCTGCCAGAGGCCCCCCCTTACCAGCCTTGATGTTGACGAGAGCGAAGAGCCCAACCCGGGTGTCGCCGTTCACGGACCATTTCTGAGTCTCGCAGTTGGGCTGACAGCAGTGGTTCATGAAGCGGGCGTGATTGCCCTTTGGCCCGGCGTCAATGATCCGGTCCTGAAATCACACGTAAAAGGGACTCTTCAAAAGCCCCCGCCCTGCCCCCAGAGCGCGCCACAGGCTGTGTGCCCACCGCTGCGCTAGCAGGCCGCAGAGAACTCCCTTCCCCCACCGCCCAGGCCCCGCCCGGGAGGGGAACCCATCTGTGCCCGGCAGAGCAGCACCTCGCTCTCATGGCCAGCGATGTCAGTGCGCCACGCTCCTCAGAGGGCCCTGCCAGCGGGGACGAGGCAGCCTTGCCGATCTCTCCGGGGAAGCACACCGAACACGTGGGCAGCAGAGTCTGATGCCCTGGCCAATCAGCGGCGAGCCGGATGGCTTGACCGGAACTGCGGGCTGATGGCAAGGGCTGCAATCGGCCAGCCACGCAGCTTACGACTGGTGCCAGGGGCTTGAAGCCACGGCTGGAGGAGCCTCGGATGCTGACTAGCGCACCCAATTGCCAAGCAAGAGCAGGGCTTACTGAGCCGCGGGCGGGCGGGCCCCCGGGGTGAGCACGCAGCAAAGCCAGCCCAGGGTTAGCAGGCTCTGGGTTCCTTCACCCACAGCTTGAGCTCACTAGTGAGTCCAGGATGGGAACTGCCGAAACCCAGGTACCAAGCTGGGCCCTCGGCGTGGCCCAGTCGCTAGCGCCCCAGCCTGCTGGCCATGGCCCGGCGTGGGGACTCCTGACTGCCCAGAGATGCTCAAAGCCAGCAGGAGACCAGGTTGCCACACACGAGAGACACACAAGGCCGGAGAGGAGAGGAGAGGAGAGGACGGGCGTGAGGGGAGGGAAGGGGAGGGGAGCAGAGCCATGGGGTGGCAATCAGTAAGCGCCAGTCCCAGCAGGCTCCTCTGAGCACGGCCGGCATGGGAGCGGCCTCCGGAGCCAGAAGGCAGCATCCCCACCGTAGCGGGGTGGCCTGAGGCACCGGTGGCTGGGTCCACAGAAGTTGTATTTAGAGAAAGCCTGTTGCCTGTCCCCCTGCACGCCCGTGACCCTCACGTCTGCACCCTGGACATCCCCGGCCCTCCCCAGCACCATCTAGCCCATCCCTGACGGTGTCTGTCCAACCTGCTCTTCAACAGCCCCAGGGATGGGGATTCCACAGCCCCCGGGGAAATTTATTCCAGCGTTTAACCCCCTGACAGGCAGGAACTTTTCCCTCATGTCCAACCTCAACCTCCCCTGCTGCAGGTTAAGCCCCTTGCTGCTTGTGCTGTCCTCAGAGGCCAAGGAGCAATTTCTCCCTCCTTCCTGAGGCACCCTTTTAGGTGCCTGAAAGCTGCCCTCATGCCCCGCCCCCTCTCAGGCCTCGGGCTAAACAGACGTGAAATAAACAGGACAAAACCCTCCAGGGACACGTGTATGACGCAGAGGCAGCTGCACTCCTATGTCCCCTCTGGCTTCTCTTTTCCAGTCTCCCCTCACAGCTCCTGTTCCCTAGACCTTTTCTCAGTCTCGTTGCTCTCCTCTGGACTTTCATCACAGCTTTCCTGGGCAGGGTGGCAAGTGCTCTGGAGGGTAGGGCCATAATTCAAACCCATCTGCACACACCGCAGAAATGGGCCGATGTCAACAGGGTGAAGCTGAATAAGGACAAATGCAAAGTGCCCCTTAGGGAGGACCAATCTGTTTCTCACACACAACGGGAAGCGATGGTCTAGGAAGGAGTCCTGGGGGGCAGAGTCGACCACAAGCTAAATAGGAGTCAACAGTGTGACCCTGTTGCAAAAAAAGCCAACATGATTGTGGGCTGCATGAACAGGAGAGTAGCGAGCGAGACACGAGGAGTCATTCTCCCGCTCTGCTCTGCGCTGGGCAGGCCTCAATCGGAGCATTGTGTCCAGTTCTGGGTGCCACATTTCAGGAAAGCTGTAGAGACACTGGAGAAGGTCCAGAGAACATGAGCTAGGACGGCAGGCAGGCAGAAGTGTGGAAAAGCCACAGGAAGGCGAGTCGGTGGCTCTGTCCCCATGGCCCCGCTAAGTGCAGTGCTCTGCACTGTCCTTAAGGAACGTCGTGCTATTATTTCGGATGGCTGCAGGGGCCCTGTGCTCTGGAGAGGCCGGGCAGGGCCCATCGTGTACCTTGTCCAAAGTCAGCATGTAGAAGTTGGTAATGTCATGCTCCTGTGCGTGGCGGATTCGTGCCCGACACTCCTCCTCGTCGATCAGCTCTCCCACGTATTCGTTCACAAACTCGCCCTGCAAGCCAAGGAGGGACAGACAGCTGCTCAGGCCCTGTGGCCCGCGGGGCGCTCCCACGTCTACACGCTGGGCCGCAGGCACTCTGCAGCAAGCGGGACCTGGATTCCGCAGCAGCTTCGTGACTCTTCAAAACCCGACAGGAGCATGGTGAGGGAGCAGGCAGCCTGCTCGAGCACAGCGGAGCTGGGCCTGGATTCCATACAGCCGACCCAGCCGGGCCCTTGGCAGTACAGGGCACCTGCTGGCAGGGAAACCTGTGCAAGCGGCACCCGCGCAGCTGGGACAACGCTGCCCTGCCCTTCCCTAAGGACACCCCATCTCAGCACCTGCGTCTTCCTGGGTCCGTGCACCATGGCTGCAGGGAGAATTGCTCCTGCCTCCCCTGCCTGGCACCCGAACCCCCCCCCAAGCCCCTGGGCCTCCACGTCCCCTGCTGAGCCCTGCCACCTGGGTGGAAGCCTCCTCCCTTTCCAGCGGGCCCCTCGGCTCAGCGGGTACCTTTCTGATGTCCCTCTTGGCTTGCAAGCCCCAGCCCCGGGCCAGCGTGCGGAAGATTTCCACCTCGGGGTACTGCCGCTTGGAGAAGCACTGGTTCTGGCAGCGCCCCCCGGCCGGACAGACCAGCGGGTGGCACTCGTACAGCAGCATCCGATTGATGCACTCCGAGTCCAGGCCGCACGGGTTTTCATCGGTGGGTTTGCAGTTGCAGCGCGGGATCTCAGACAGGTCTGCTGTGAAGATCTGCACCTTGCCCACGGGCCGGTTTACCTTGGAGCGTGCACACAGCAGGTTAGCTAGCGAGGAGACACCTGCACCGGTACGACCCCCCAGGCCGTAGGCACTGCTCCAGCCCCTCTCCCCGGGCGCCGCCTTGCCACCTGCCTGCCGGGGGAACGGCCCCTGCGCCGGCTCACTGCCCAGGACCCTCCTGGGACGGCCTCGCAAGCAGCTCTCGCGCCACCCAACTCTGGCCCAGGTAAAGGCTGGAGGCAGCGCCCGCTGGAGAACCCATCGTCTTGCTGGTAGCACAAGCAGGGCCTTGGACTTGGGTTCCTGACCCGACGCTCGAAGGCAGCAACAGAGACGCCCTCTGCGCCGCCGCGCAATCCCCTCTGTGACGCACACCAGGAGACGGCTCGCCTGGAACCCACCTCTCTCGCACCCTGCTCAGACCTCTGCCCTTTGCCACTAGCTGGCAGAGACATTCCCGTGGCCGTGGCCACCCCGTGGCTCCATCAGGACGCCCGCGGATGTCCCAGCAAAGCAGCACCTCTTAGTGATGCCCAGTAGCGGCTACAGGAGAGAACAGAGCTCCTCTTCAGTGCTCCCTGGAAGGTGAAACCCTT